CAGTACCTTTCACAGATATACACAGTCAAGTAACTAATACCTAACATGATGTACATTTTTATAAACTGATTGTACCTCATAGATCACCCCGTATAAGGTGCTTATAGGCAAATTAGTATTACTCATACAAGTAATATTACACATCTACTGCAGCTTGTAAGGAGATGCCCAAGTTGGTCAAGGCACCAATAACCTTTCCAAAGGTATGCATACCATTGCACTATCTTTTATAGATATACACATTCAAGTAACTAATACCTAAAATGATGTACATTTTCGTAAACTAATTGTATTTATACATCACACTGTATAAGGTGTTTACAGACAAGTCAGTGCTACTCATACAAATAAAAAATATTTACTAAAAATCAGTACAAGTTGTGGCTGCAACGGCTAATTGCAATATGCATGTGGACAACTAATCGCATATTCAATAATTTGTACACATTATATTTGGTCGGTTACATGGTGTACATTATTTCAATCAAATTGTACATTCACTAAGTATGTATGTACTTGCCATTCATTGAAGTAAATTATCTATCTAATTTAATACACTCTCATAAGCACTAATGGTCAATTTCATAGACGATTGGAACAAATAACCATCTAGTAAAAACATCTGATATAAATGTTATTAATGACTAACATGCTATACGTTCCAATAAATACGGTGTACATCACATACCTTGTCTAGGCAAAATCTTACAAGTTATCCAAAGTTACGCCATACTTTAAAAGCAATTACAAGTAGTAAAATTTATACCTTGCAACAAGTTACACCATACTTTAAAAGCAATTACGAGTAGGCAAATATCATTGTAATCATGTTATGGGATACCTTGCAATAAGTGTACCTTCTTGATGTTGTCAAACCATCCTAATCCTTGTTTAGGTAGACTTTCCGGATGCTAAAACCTATGACAAAATCATATATGTGAGTAATGGTCGCATAGTGTCACAGTTGTGCATAATAGGTTTCGAATAATATACATGTTGTTAGATGACAGTTACGGTTTACAGTCATAAATGTACGCATTGTGAGTCAGGCATTGCAGTATTGTACTCCCTATTTCATTCGTGTAATTTACAATAACTCACTTTACTTATCTTTTATCTTTGTATGTGTCGATCTACTGTGATGTAAGCGCCCATACATAGTCGGTAATTCAGTTTAAACTATACGGTGTCACTGCTATCCTGCAACAAGGATAAAAAAAAAAAAAAGCAAGTAACAATTACCTTCACACTCTCCCTGTTATTTTATATATCTATAAACATCCTAAGTCATTTAATTCATCTATTGAGACAAATTTACAAACACTTGGCATGCATAAGTTCCCTGTGCATACGTTCTTTAAGTTGGCTCACAATGTATCTAATTTGTGCTACCCATATGATTTCCTTGTTTAGGAGTTTTTGCCAGAGTTCCAATTTCATTATTCATGTCACACTGTCTTAAACAAGTTGTACGAACAAAATCATGCAAGTAAATTCATCCCTCTTCTGTCGCAAAACAAGCCAAATAGTGCAATGAGTTTGCAATATTCTTACCTTTGGGGTTTAGTCCAATTCGATTGAGTCAATTTCTGATTCAGATCTCACCAACTTCTGCCTTTTTCCAGCCTTTATGAAAAATTTTTGTCCCACAACAGTTACTTCTTGTGTTCCCTCAGTATACTGATTGATGACACTATATTTCTGCAACACTTTCTCCAAAAACCTCTCATCTGAAACATCCCAATTTGGGGTAGGGATATTATTTTGCTGATACTCTAAAATTGTGAATGAATGTTCACAAGATATGTTTTTGGAGGGAGACCAAATTCTATTTCATTTGAAAATTTCAGATGAAGAGTCGTGCCTCATTAATTTGAGCGGGAATTTTTGGAATGGACAGCTAAGGCATTTTAACGGAGCCCGTTAGCCCCTCAAATGTTTTTTTATTTTTTTCCCTACTCACTTACTAAAACAGCGTCGTTTTCCTTTGCTGATGCCTCCATTGTACGTGGCCTGTTGCAGTCCTCTCATTTCCTTTTGTGAGAGGACTGCTCAGGGACGGTCCGTCCCTACCCCAAATCCTGAAGGGACGGTCATCAAAAAGACCGTCCCTACCCCAAACATATGACATATAAAAAGAATAGTCACATCCAGTGGCTAAAATGAATACAACCAAACAAGAACAAAAGCAGACAAGAACGGAATATAGTTGTATTCTCTAACAGTTGACAATTGCTTAAATCATCAAATCTTCCTCCAAATCCATATTCACCCCATAATTGAACTAATATATGTTTTTCTACGCAAAACTAATATATATTACTACTAGTCTAAAAGAAGCAAAAGGTGGTGAGATATTCTAGGATTTTCTAGCTCTTTTATTTCGTATTAAATATTACTCCATGCTTACATGTTTGGTTGAAAGTGAAGGATTCAAATAGATTAAGTAATATATTACCTGAAATAAATACTAGACCTCTCAAAAAGAAGCAAAAATGGGAAGGGGATATTCTCATACACAATGGCACACTCTTTCCCCCATTTTGGTGGATTTTTAGTCATGTTTTGAAATTTGTCTAGGTGTCAAAATTTTAGTCATGTTGTATGAGAAATTCTTTTAGCAAATCCTTCGTGATTTATTGGCCCAAACTTTGAATTTATAAATAAATAACCTTGGTTAAAAAAGTGTTTAAATCGAAGATTATTCGAAAAGAATATTTTAGATAATATTGTAGTGATTTTTAAGATGTGATATGTGTGAAAACGGAGGTAGCTAGAAAAAAAAAAGTGATATAAAATCGTGTGTATGATGTAACAATTTTTTTTTCTAAGAAAAGGGCTATCCAAACAATTTGATTTGTTATTTGGAAAGTGATTTTTCTCCCAAATTCCTTCTTGTTACATGTGATAGTAAATTAAAACAATGCCCACCACTAATAAATCCTACTCAACCAGGTCATTCCCCAAATGATTTCGGATTAACTTCTTCGAGGAGTCTAGAATTACTCTTGTTATTTTAACTTCAAGTTAAACAAATATTAATGTACTTATTTGGTTACCATAAATATAGTACTCCAATATTTGAAAATTGACACCAAACTAAAAATCTAAAAAATCCGTTCCCCTTTTCTCCTTTATTTTTTTAACTTTCTTCTTCTTCTAATTCTGCAAAAGCATCTGCGTGACTATCATGTGATATGCGTTGATTTGTCAGGAGTGGAGAGTAGAGCTTTGATATGCATGGATCTAATATTTGATGTACAACTATTATGTGAATGTGTTTATTTATGTATGTGTATTTTATTTTATTTGTGAGAGTGTAAGTCAATATGTCTTCTGGATTGCAAAAGAAAAGGGCAAAAAAAGTGAATAGCAAAGGGAGAAAAGAGAAGTCGGTTCCTCAAAAAGCGATTTAAAGTTGATTTTGAACGATATACATAAAGTTGTGATGTGTTTGCGGTGTATTGTAGACGTTAAAGTATAATGTCTTGGTATTATGTTATTGTGCATGATGTAAATGTACATGTCATGTGAATTATAAGAAAAGAAGTAGCAAAGTAAATAGAAAAAATGGAAAAATGAGCATTCGGATAGTTAAAGAATGATTTGAAGATGGTCAATTTTTAAGTAATATACGTTAAAATATGATCCATTAGCATTAAGCAATTGACTTAAAAGTATGGTGTATTGCTTTGTAGTTTACAAGTTTAAGAGTTAAAGATGGCACAAATTCTTTTTTTTTTTTTTGTTCCTTAAAATTAGACAAATTGCACTTGTGGTATTGTTACGGAAATAATCCTATAGATTTTTGTAAGAAGTGATGTAGGTAGGAAACAAAAAAGGATTGATAAATCCTTTTTGGATAAATCTTTTTTGGATAACTTACAAATAATCCCCTTATAGTTTTATCTATTGCCACATGACTTCTTTAACATTTTAAAATATCCATTTTACCTTCAATAATTTCATGTAAAGTAGAAACTTGATGGAAAATAACCTATGTAATGTCGTTAGTTGAAATACTAGTACGTACTACCCTTATTTAAATACTAAATCAGATAACGACTTAATCACCTTATATAAAACTGCGAGAGACTATGTGGATAAATGCAAAAATTACAAGGGATAAAATAAATATTTATACAAACTATAGGAGGATTAAGTAGATATCACGATTTGATCACACCCACTTTCGAAGTGTGTCTCGTATAATTGTCGTAATTGATTGTGTATTTTGTTTATTTTACACTTTATATAAATCTACAGGGAATTATTTGACTATTTTGAAATCTTAAGTAAGTCATCTGACATTATGTAAAATTATAAGGAATTAAATGCAATTTACCCTTTTTTGGGGTTAATCTCAGATTTACATTCAATAATAATGCAGCAATATTCTCATTGATGATTAGTTTCTATAAACTCAGATTATCCCATTAACTCCACGTTCATATCATTTCTGTCGGCATCATTCTTAGCCCCACTTTTTTTTCCAAAAAAAAAAAAAAGGCCCCACGTTTGAGATAATCATTTGTTTTTGGTTTCTTGCTGCATTCATGTATCAGTTTTCACCTAATATATGTACACACACACGTGTATGCTTACACACATGCATACATATATACATTTATATGTGTGTGTAATACACTGCATGTCCATTGTCCAACCATTGTCTGCTTAAGCCATTTCTGTTTTCTTGAACTTCTATGACCCCAGAAAATAGTTGTTTGGTTGTTCCCTCTATTTCCGTGCTTTCTTGAACCAATGGAGTCTAAATTTTACATTTACATGGTTGACAAAAAAAACCTGCAGAAAACAGAAAATACAGAGGTTCTAAATCTTTTTTGTGCTATTGCACGTTGATTTCTGGATTTCTACCAATTTTGATTGTAACCCTTTTTTTTTCAAGTGTTGTCTGTGTACATACTAGAGCATTTCAAACTATATTAGAATTGGTTTGCATATAAGCACACAACAAATTCTGGGCCCGGAGCTTATTCGTTGCTCATTCTGAACCTTGAAGTTGCCAAGTTGGAAGCCATTGGTTTGTGGAAACCATGGCTTCACTTATGCGTAATTTGTGGGCATCTTCTTCATTTGCTTTAACAGAGTTCAAGCCTCAATCCAGAGCTCAAATTAGATGTTCAACAGCTCAGGAGTCCTCTATCTTGTCGACTGATACTGTTAGACTTAATGGAGTTTCTTCAGCTAAGAAGCAGGAGATAACTAATCCGATGATGGATAGGGGGACTGGTCATTTACCTGCTGGTGCAAGTACTAGAGAGAAGAAGAAGAAGGGAGAGGAAGAAGTTATGCAAGAAAAGCTGAAACCGTTGTGGGATGATGGGTATGGAACTCGGAGTGTGAAGGATTACATGGACTCAGCAAAAGATGTTATTAAGCCTGATGGTGGACCTCCAAGGTGGTTTTCACCTATAGAATGTGGTCCTCCATTGAAGAATTCACCTGTTCTTCTCTTTCTACCTGGTAAATGATGCTTTGCCAGTAGTCTTGAACTCGAACTGCTACTTTTCTTTTGTAGAAAGTGCATAGAAGATGCATGATTAGTCTAGATTTTAGCTTATGTTCTTATGGTCTGTACGGAAGATTTGAAATGAAGTAAGAGCTTTACTTGCTTTCTGGAAGTTTTAAATAGGCTTTTCCTCCTAGTTTAGGATACTTATCTGCATATTGCTTTGGTTTGTGTAGGGATGGATGGCCTTGGATTGGGGCTCATGTTGCATCACAATGCTCTAGGAAGGTCACTATTGGTTTTATAAACTCTTTCTTGTATACTTCTGAGACTAACTAGTTCTAGGCTTCTAGCAGTCACTGAAAATAGTAAATGGTACTATCATTTTAGTTGGTTTGAACTATGCATGAACACCTGGTCTAAGAACTGAACTTGTAGCAATCAATTTTCACCTGAAATTAGTACTTTCTCAATTACCTTGTATCATACTTTGATTCCGTCAAAGTCTTCTTAGGGTCTTCGCTTAAATTATTTTAGTTTTCGTTCTGTAAGCCAGAGTAGCTCTGTTTAAAGAGAATTTAATCTACTTTTCTTGATAAATGCTACACAAACACCAAGTCATATTCCTCGTCAACTCAATGAGGTACTTAGATGTGTATTGAGTGAAAAGAATTCAGGGTTCATTAATTCTTTAGGTATATGTCTAGATTGTAAAATTGGAATGATGTAAATTGCTTCATTTGAACCTTGGAGTACATATTGATCGACCCATACAACTAATTACTTTGTCATCCTTCTTACTATCGTCCCATAATTATGAACTTTCATCATTTTACCAAGGAGGCAGGTTGTGCATATGTTATCATTCACTACAATAGAAAATATAATGCTTCATGCATTAACCAAGATGAAGAGTGGTTTGAAACCTCTTAGCTGTGAATATCAAAGACTTTTGTAGATGGAGCGTTTGCTTCAGCTGATATACATACCTTGTAACAATGTTTACAGCAATACTAGTTGACTTTTGGGAAAAAAGGGGGTGAGGGGAGGGGACTTTTATGTGCCTGCTTCATTCGAGTAGCCTTCTTCTGAGTTAGCAGATTTCTCTTCAAATCTTGTTGATATCCAAATAGGACTTCCAAAAGTTACCATGATCTTTTTTCATGCAAACTCAGAACCTGTCTGACCTCCTGATCCAGGATTTCCAGGGACTCATAGCTATTATTCGAATCAAGCATAGAAAAGCAGGTAAGTTCATGAAAGAGTAGAAAAAAGGACTTGAAAAAGAATTCCAATCACATAATTGACTCATATCCTTAACATAGTTTCCATCTGTAAAGTTGGGAATCAAATGTTGTAGAACTTTCTGTCCATCTATCTGCATTGCTGTATTGAGGAGGTTTATGATCTTTGTACTGGATTCTCAGACTAATATATGCTAAATGAGGAACTTAAAGAACCGAGTACAATTACATGAGTGTCAATGTTTCTCTTACATTACTTATTACTAATGGATGACCACTCTTGCAGGGTTTTTGAGGTATGGTGCCTTCACATTCCTGTGAAAGATCGAACACCATTTGAAGGTAATTAAAATTTGTTCTTGTTTGGAGATGGTTTCTCTTTTTTCCTAACCCATAAAATTTTGGTTACTAAAGAGTAGATCACATCCTGATGATCTTTATATATTGATTTAAGGTTTTGCTCTATCAGATTATTATCTCAAGGTGATATAAGGTTTTGATCTCCTCACTTTCCCATTGTCTGGTTATCTTCTGTTTATGTCCACCAACACGTACTCTTGGGTGATAGTTCTTCCCCTTGTAAGTACTGCTCTGATGATTTAAAACTCCAAATTTAGGCTTTGACAATATTCCATATAAGGTTCTGACTTCTGAACGAGAGACATATGGAGCTATCAGGTTAATATTGAAAGACACTGAGAAAGCTCTAATATATAACATGCTCCTTCAGCTTGTAAAATTTTCTCTTGAAAACTGAGTCTTCTATGGGAGAAGTATCAAATCTCACAGATGAAGAACTGGTCAAATTCAAAAGCAGCAAAATGCTATGCAAATCTCGGCAACCACTGATGCTTTATAAGATAATACTGGTTATAAAGCAGGAGAATTGCATCAAATTGTGTCTCTATGAGCAAATGATTTGTGGCATCATGCATTTGAAATGACCTGGATGTATTAACTACTCAATCATGTTTTTCATTCTTTGGTTCTAGAGGAACGAACTGCTTAATTCTTTTGCAAAAAAAAGGTTCTCAATGACTAAATGAGACCACAATTGGTCTGAAATTAAAAAAAAAAAAAAAGAATCATTGGAAGACTTAGAATTGTGAGCCTAAACATCAATACTCTAGTTTTGGGGATGATTTTTGCAACTGACTATGAAAAACCAAAATTGCTTGTGCTTGGCAAAGCAGTTACATGGATTTCACCGGTGGATTAATGTGGCATGATAGGATGGTAGCAAAGTAAACTTATTGGACATTGTATTGAATAGATTGTGCCTGATACTTCACAATCAAGAATTACCAGTAAGATCGAGGCTAGATCCAGCCTGTAATACAACTTGGGATAATCATCAAGCTGTTCCTTGTACATGCTGCAGTTGGGGAACTTAAGAAATGGTAGGTGGAGATTAAACGAGTTACTTGTTGTACGAAGTCACGATATATTCCTCTTACATGTAGTCAAATTCCTCAGAAGAGCTACTATTTTACTGGGAAATGGTTGTGTGATAATGGTTCTCCAATGCATCATTCTTATTTTTTTTCAAATGATTAATGCTTGCGATTCAAAAGATGTTGGGAATAATACCATTTGAACAACTTACTCCTCTGACCACAATAGCAACTACTATCCCTTTCATTTTCTCAATGAGATTTGGCTTAACTGTGAAATAATCTCTCTGGTATCTTTGATTTCCTTCCTATAGTAAATGAGGATGAAGGATGAGGTATATCTTATGCTTGTGTTATTCACCAATACCGTAATTGTAAACAGACATGGTAAACTTTGTTGAGGAAACTGTGAGGAATCAGCATGCTTCGTCTCCAAATAAGCCAATATATCTTGTGGGAGATTCATTTGGAGGATGCTTAGCACTTGCAGTTGCTGCACGTAATCCGGTCATTGATCTTGTATTAGTATTAGCTAATCCAGGTATGTCTAAGTGACAGTCCATCATTCTATTTTATCTTGAGTCTCTGCTGATTAAATTTACATGTTACCTGGTAACTATTGTTTGCTTCCATTTTTTTCAGCAACGTCATTTAATAGGTCACAGCTGCAACCTTTGCTACCTTTCTTGGAGGCTATACCTATTGAACTTCATTTTACAGTCCCTTACCTTTTAAGCTTTGTCATGGGTACGTTAGAATTCTTAAATACATAAGTTTACTATTCAACAGTCTCAGCATAGAATCTTGAAATATTACATGGTTTAATCTCTGATCATTCTCTAGATATGGTCCTACATGCTGCCTCCATAAGCATTACCCCAGTGCATAAAGACATCTTTTAACATTTTGTGCTTTTAGAACCATCGCTTTTATGTAGTTCACTATATTAATTGTACATGTTGCGAAATATGTTGCGGTAGCTTAAGGTGATTGGGTACATCATAAGCTACATCTGCTGAACCATATATGAAAGCTCCTATGTTGTTGCAATTGCAACATAAATGTCTCACTGTGAGTTCAATAAACCATAAACCACAACTGTGTAGTGGCATGCATAAACTCTCAAGAATAGTTTGGCTAGTTATGCTAGCATTTCTTTGGAAGGACTGCTGAAGTTGTTGTCTGCAGAGTATGTGACACCCTACAAGTTGCTGAACTGGGAAATCTTCCTTTGGATCATTACCATAAAAACTTCCAGGCTTACTTCTAGAAATACTCTTTGCTAACCTCATATCCGCATGGTTTCGCACATTTCCACAGCCTATTGATATTGTATGCCACGTGTCAAAACGCCTAGTTTGTAGATGTTAAGGCCAATAACCATTATCCAAAAGAGTAATATAACATCACTTGTTAGTTTTACTGAAAGCCTCAAAATGTTTTCTTCTCCTTGAATTCTGTCATTAAATTCTTTGAGTTCTGCAAAGCAATTATGCAGATGATTCAAGTTAGAAATGAATTTTTTCTGAGAGAATCATTTTTCTTTCCTTCCTTCTTTTGCCTTTTTTTTTTTTTTTTGGTATTGAAGAACTAACCCTTCTAAATTTGCTGTAAATGCCTTTTTTTTTGTCTCTTTTGGTGCCATGATGGTTATCCATCCTCCTGAAAGTTTTAATCATTTGATGCCGTCTGTAATTTCCTTTTCCTTTCAATTTTGTTTTAGTTGGCGATGTCAAGTGCTTATCGTTTTCCCTGCTCTAAATGAAATAGCATCCTATGGTTGTATCAGGTGAACCAGTGAAGATGGCAATGGCTACTGTTGATGCTACTCTTCCTCCACGAATAGCTCTAGAACATTTGGCTGGCAATCTTACAGCTTTGTTACCACGACTTTCAGTGAGTTGCAAAAAAATATTTTTTAATAACATTTTCCCTTCTGTTAGAACCCTCTTTTTTTCTCAATTTTTTCTGAACTGTCTCTTTTCTTGTTAATATCATATAGATTACTTGCACATCATATCAAGTTAATATAGATATTAGTGGATTCAGTAGTTTGTTAATTTGAAGAGTTTTAATGCCATGTATAAATTTCTTTGCTTTCAAGATGGCAGTCTCACTTCTTAGGCTTCTCTGAGTAAGCTTTTGAGACAAGTCCTGACAAACTAATTGGCATAAACAGGGATCACAGAGGCAGAGAATTCCGTCAGATATTGAGAAACATCTAGGAAAGCATTGGAATGATGGAGAACTGCTTATGAGTTCCTTAATGCTCCTTATTTCCTGTAGTAGTAATTTACGTCTCTATATAGTTAGTGGATAGATATGTTCCTGGAGGTAATGACTTCCATGACATAGTCATGATAGTAGGAATAGATGCCAAAAACCAGAAAAAAACTGATCAAGATATTTAGCTGACCTTAAAAGTAATAGAATATGAATTGATGGCGAAAGTTGAGCAATAAACGGATATAACAACAGATTAAGTTATGTAACAAGATAGCAATTATACCACAAGGAGCTTTAAAAGGAAGTCAGGACGTAACAGAGGCTGTTCATTCGTTAGTTTGTAAAAGAGAAGATATCGATGCTAAGATCTTAGATTATAAGATGAGGGAAAATGGACAGAAAAGTAGAAGGAAAGGAGAAGATGAGGGAAGAGAGACCACATCAATCTGTTCTCACATTGCCCATTTTGCATTCCCTAAACCCGAAACTATAATGTGACAAATAAGCACAAGGATTCCTAACATTAAAACCATATTCTAGACTTCGTAGCATGAAATCATGTATCTGAATCAAAATCCAGCTAAAGTGAACCAAGATGAGATTATGGTCTAGATTGCAGGGCTTATACTTATGGCACTCCTAAATGGACTTCTTGACTTGAGAGTTCCACATTACCTATATATTCCAAACACTCGAATTTTGTGCTCCCTATCGCTTGTGGATACATATCAATTTAGAAAGGGTAAATCACATCAGGCTATACTTATCTGATTTCAGTTGTCTTTCAATACTTCTTTCAGGTATTGGCTGATATTATACCAAAGGACACTCTTCTCTGGAAGCTCAAACTTCTTAGATCGGCTGCCAGTTATGCTAATTCCCGTCTTCATGCTGTTACAGCTGAAGTACTAGTGCTTGCAAGGTTTTCTTCCCTGTCTTGATCTGTACAAGCTTTAACATGCATAATATTTCTTCCTTTTGTTTTTTGCTTTCTTGAATATCTCGTGGAGTGATCACCTTGAGAGCAGATTAGGTGTTTATCCGTAAACATCCTTTGATACTGCTTTCACAATAAATCTCTATCCTTCTTAGTTGAAAAGTGAACTACTGGTATGAATACCCCTTAATCTTTTTGTACATTTCAAAGTCTACCTTTAGTTGAAACAAAGAAAATCAAGGGGGAAGAGAAATGAATAATGTAGGAATAGCTATTGAAGAATATATTTTGTCTAACTATCTTACTTTGCATAATGCTTGGGTCTATTAAGCAACAGGCAACAGCTAGTGGAGTAGGTGGGGCGTTCTTTGTTTCTCAGTTCTTTGACCACTTAGATGTTTTAATTCAATTTTTAACAAAATAAATGTAAAGAATGAAAATGGCAACAAACCTTCTTCATTTTATCATTTACCAGTTTTGTGTAAGGATCCACTGGCTACTTTGACTGTGCTCTGACAACATAAGATAATGCTGCACATTCAGAATTTTACGTGTTATGCATCCCTCTATTCTTAAAGATGATTCTATCTTGACTGATATTTTTAAGTCATAAATTTGAAATGAATAAAATATGATACGTCACCGTTGCATAATAACAAATACAAACCTTAACCAGTGATCATGCGAGTCTTTGGATGTAACTTGCAAGAAATTTCCCTTTTCTTTTCTGGACAGAAATTGTTCTAACAAGCCCTTTTCATTCCAGTGGCCAGGATAATATGCTTCCTAGTGGTGATGAAGCACAAAGGCTTGAAAGGTCATTAGGAAACTGCAAAGTAAAATACTTCAAGGACAATAGCCATGCCATTTTACTGGTAGGTGAAAATTTATGCTTTTTTGCTCTTTGAGAAAATTTTATGAAGGTTTTACCTTTCACAAATCTCTTAATAACTTGTAGTTCACTTCTAGTAACCAGTTTTGCAAAACATCAGTCCATGCAACTGTTGAGTTTTGTCACTATGTTATATATTACCTAATATTCTTTGGTGTAATTGAATGCTTTTTAAGTATGATTATCCTAGGGGTTAATTCCATTTTGTCCTCTCAAACGATGCACGAAATCCCATTTCAGTTCTTGAACTTCAAAATAGAACACTTAAATCCCTAAAGTACAATTTATGTTCTAGTTACGTAAAATCGGTGACAGAATCAAAAAACTTAACGGCGTATTAGAAATGTGGAGAACACGCTCCTATAGCATGATTGTATAACTGTTACAAACCGGAAAAAAAGAACATAAAAGTGATTTCATCTTTTGTAAGTGTTATAAGCCAAAAAAAGGACATAAAAGAAATTTCATCTTTTTCTTTTTTTGTTGTCTTTTCCCTCTTCATCATTCCTTTTTTTTTTTCCTTTTTTTCTTCTTCCATCAGGCCCTTTTCTCAACTTTTCCTACCAATATCAAGAAAAAAAGGATGGAGTTCACCGAAAAGAATCCAACCAATTGATGCAGTAGACAACCTCTTTTCCCTTCCCCTTATAGTTGTCATTCACTCTCCAGTTTTTTCTTCCCTAAGTAGCATTATCACCAATAGCAGTAGCTTCTTCGTCGGATCCGAACTACTGCCGAAGTTTGACACAACCCAAGTGGTAGAAGGGAGATGGCTAGAAACTACAAAGCAGACTGGGGTAACAACCACTGCTTACAAGGGCGTAAAGGGTTACTGGATGAGGAGAGGATACGAGAAACTAGATGGGAACGGTAGTCGACGAAGGAAGAGAAGGGTGGTGGAGTTGGCGGCCGAAAACGGGTCAAGCCGGAGGAGGCTGTTCTGGAGGATAAGGTTGACTCCCAGGCTGAAGCTGAAACTGAGATTAAGATTCTCGCCCAAGAAATTTATCCTGGGACTTCGGGATGCCTACATTAATTTGATGACCAAGCTGGCCAGCAGCCGGTTCGTCAACAGCAGGGTTGCCGGATATCCTGGGGAGGGCATCAGCGGGTTTGGGTTGCGCCCGCTCAAAGAGTACGACGAGAAGATGATCGTCGAGATCTACAAGTCTTTGGTGATGGCTCAGGGCCACCAATTGGTGAATCCTGGCGTCGTTGTCGCAGTCGCACCCCCACAAAATTCCCACTCTTCCGACGGTAACTGAATGCTGATGGACTACCAAATTCATCTCATCTCATCGCATCGCATACTTCTGCTGTGCCTATGCCTATCAATGATCAATCAATAAATTCCATCCCTTTAAGAAAACCACCTAGTCGCAAACCCTCCACACACTCCACCCATTAGTAGAAATTTTTGTTTGCCAATCAAATCAATTTTACCTCTTGTAAGTAATTGTTACAGTCAAATGAATACTTCGGTCGTAATAAATTTAAGTCTGCTTTGTAGTTTGTAGTTTTCGTGTGAAAATCAAGTACAAAAGATGAAATCACTTTTATGTCCCTTTTTTTTTGGTTTGTAACACTTACACAATCATGCTATAGAAGCGTGTTCTCCACATTTCTAATACGCTGTTAAGTTTTTTGATTCTGTCACCGGTTTTACTTAGCTGGAACATAATTTGTAGTTTAGAGGCTTAAGTATCCCATTTTAAAGTTCAGGACTGAAGTGGGATTTCGTGCATAGTTTGAGGAGACAAAATGGAATTAACCCTTATCCTAGAGATTAAGATGTAACAGTAATCATGTCAGTCTTCTACTTGGTTGAAAGAGCATCAAACATCAATGTACCATTCCAGAATGGGTCCGACAAGAATCTGGGTAACTGGGTTTAAAGGGTTTTTGATATGTCCATAGGAGGACCTAGTACAGTAGCAAACACAAGCCTGAAAATAGATCAGCTTTAGTTTTTTTGGCTGTAAAAACTTATTTATAAAAAGTGAGAAAGAAAATTTAGCCAAATTTGCTTAAAATCTTTGGCTGCTTCATGGGTCAAACGAAAATAATTTTCGCAAAACATTTTGAGTTACTCTTGAGCCTACACAAAACTTGTGCCAAAATGGTCTTATCCCAGAGCTTCAGTTTTTTATGTTTAAACTCTTCATAGAAAATGGCCTGTTTGGTGGGGAATAAATGCATTAAACTACAGATCAAAGCTATGAAACATATGCTTCATTGCATGTAGATCAAATTGTCTTGCAATCTCCCATCTGTCAACACACAAAAACTATCACTCCAAGTTGCTATAGCATAGAATCCAATTGATAGCATTACTATCCCAGGCATTTAATGGGGTTATTTGTTGCAAATTTCAATAAATTTTTTTATTAATCAAATCTTAGATGTATTGCAGCAAATTCACCGTATAAGGTCTTGAAAATTAAGTGCAAGAGTTCGTCATGCAGGAAGATGGGGTCAATTTGTTGACTATTATCAAAGGTGCTTTCAAATATCGTCAGTCAAGAAAGCATGATGTTGTCATGGACTTTTTACCTCCTAGTGATTCAGAGTTCAAGCAAACACTTGAGAGTCATAAGTAAGTATGCGTCATGTGATGTAGTTCTGCTCTACAACTTTTTCTTTAATGGTCTTCACAAAGGAAAAATTGGAATACTTTCTCAATGACATATTATTCAACTTGGGCGGAGTTTAGGTTGGCATCTTTACTTCACTGCAGGTGAAATTTGTTTAGAATTAGACAAGTTATAATTCTTGGAAGCTTTAAGTTTCTGAAAAATTCTTAATAGAAAAGGCAAACAGTTGAATAATGTGATGAAAAGTAAGTTTTGCTTTCCTGTAGTAGTCAGAGAATTTGACATTAAGCGTGTCTGATGCAAGTAGTCAGTTAAGGACCTAAGATAGTAGCTTTTGGGGGGGCAAGGAAGAATCATGCTTGTCTATGGGCTTTCTTGCAGATTCCATTAAACTTTTCTGAAATGTAGCCTAATATTTGTGGTTGATAATCTGCAATAAACCATTTGTGAGCCTTTTAATTTGTGAACTCATGAAGTGTGTGTGTTGCTGTTGGACGTTTTCATGAGCTAGGTGGTTCAGTCATTCCTCAACCTTTTGGATCATTAAGAGGGTCCTTCATATATAATGTCTATAAATGTCCAAGCATATGTACCGCTGTTTGCCCTCCCAAATTGCAACTGGAGACTTCTTGTACCAGATTGCATTGATACTTCTCTCTGTCAATACCTTTTTAAGGTGCTGTAGCAATTTTTTATACCTCTTGTTGTAATAATTATGGTTCCGCTTTCTTAGTACCTTATTTTAGGCTTTCCAAATATCAATAATTAAACTTCCAAACGTGTTACTAATAAATATTTCTCTTTTACTTTTTCCATGTGTCGCATTTTCTGTGTCTTCTTCTCTTCTGAGGTACATTATCCTCACATCTAACGAGTAAGTTGGTGTTTGAAAGTCATCATTAGTCCTTTGAACCTCTTTCTTGGTTGAGCATCTGAACAAATATATCCAGAAAATTTAAGTATTACAAAAGCTTATGCTCAAATTTAAATGCTTATTTCTATCAGCAATACCTGCATTAAGGTTCTTCAGCATGGAAATAGAACATTGTCATTACATGTATTCCTAACTCCCACGCGGCACCACTGATTTTGGCTAGTATGTGAAGCCTCAGTTGGGTTGGGAAGAAGTCTTAGGTCATTCTGGACTTTAAAATTTGATATCTCTTGACAATTCTTGCAGAATTTACCGGTATCTTATTGGCTCGGTAATGTTTTCCACATTGGAGGATGGGAAGATAGTGAGAGGCTTGTCAGGGGTTCCAAGTGAAGGTCCAGTCATACTAGTTGGTTATCACATGCTGTTAGGTTTGGAACTTGTTTCTCTTGTTGAAGAATTCCTGAGGCAAAGGAAAATTCTGGTCCGTGGTATAGCACATCCAATGCTATTCTCACAGTTGGTGGAGACTGATGTAAAAGAGTTTACATTCTTTGATACGTTTAAAATTTATGGTGCAACACCCGTCAGTGCAACCAACCTTTTCAAATTGTTCAAAACAAAATCACATGTTCTTCTTTATCCTGGTGGTGCTCGTGAGGCTTTGCATCGTAAGGTATTTCACAGTAACTCTTAATAAATGTGACTAATCTACCGTACTTCAGATGGCTTTAAGTATTTCCCTTTTGAATCTTGTGAGATTATGGCTTAGTTAAATCCTTAGGAATGCACTTTGATATGCATGTTAAGAGACTGCACATAATCATCCTGATGGCATTGGGATGGCTTATCAAAATGTATAGCCCGTTTTTAGCATATGCCCTGCTTCAAATTTCCATAGCTTGTCATACATTTCAGCTTGCATGACAATGAATTTTTAAGTAGTCATTTGCACCACTGCTACTTGGATATTGCTTAATATGATCACAAGCCCCTGTTTGCTGCAGGTGTTGATTGAGACCTTGTTTTCCCACAGCAACAGGAAAACGTGTACTATTTGTTTTGATGACTTTCACTTTGTTGTTCTCATCCATAATGTCATTTCCAGCATTAATACATGCTCTTGCTTACTTTCTCAGGGTGAAACGTACAAGTTGTTTTGGCCTGATCAGCCAGAATTTGTGAGAATGGCAGCTAAATTTGGTGCCACAATTGTACCATTTGGAGTCATTGGAGAGGACGACATGGCAGAAGTAAGTTTACTCCCTTTACAAGATAAACTTTCTTGATTTATTTTGTCAATCTTTCCTTGGTTAAATAAGACATACAATAGAGCTCAAGGATACAACACACATGCTGGTCACAAACTGATGCAGGAATCTGTGCTAGCTTTGTATTCCATGATTCTCCACATGGGCATGGAATTTCAACCTATCAAAAGGCAATATCTGTTCCAATTTCCTTATACAAGCTAAAGAGGCTATATTAGCAGGGAGAAGCCATTACAGTGTCCTTAAGTATCAATGGCATATGTCAATCATGTCACATTAAAACGCGTTGTATTGATTTTTTATCTTCTAACACTATAGCTAATCGAAAGCTTTTAGGTTTCACCGATTTAATTTTCCTTTTGGCTAAATCAGAAGGTTAAATGTGGACCACGACGGACAGTTGTGGCAGCCTGTGGTGAACAGCAGTATGTTTCATTAAGTGTGTTCTGATGTGAAATTCTTTTGTAATTGCAGTTAGTCTTTGACTATAATGACTTGATGAAGATCCCAGTGCTGAATGACTACATTAGAAAAAAGAACGAAGACTGGAATTTTAGAGCAAGGTAATGACCCTTTATCGCTCATACCGTTCTTCTCAAGCCTCTTAGACAACTAGATTTTCCACCGATGAACATTTGAAATAACCAATGTGGTTGCGTTGCAGAGCTCACGCGACTGGAGAGGTTGCAAACCAAGAATTACATTTGCCAGGCTTTTTGCCTAAGGTTCCTGGCCGCTTGTACTATTTGTTTGGGAAGCCTATTCAGACAAAAGGAAGGCAAGAGTTGTTGAAAGACAGAGAAAAAGCAAGAGAGCTGTATCTCCAGATAAAGTCTGAAGTTGAAAACAGCATGGCCTACTTGCTTAGAAAAAGGGAGGAAGATCCTTACAGAACTATCTTGGACAGAACAGCATATCGGGCATTTTTTGCTCCAATAGATCAAGTCCCAACCTTTGATCCCTGAATCATGATTTGCAAACATACTTCTCACTGCAAAGTAGAATAGGACTTATAGCAGATTGTCAAGCTATGATGTTGACAATCATTCTTTCCCCTGCATATTCTTTTTCTGCTCTACAGTTAAGGAATGGTGGGGGTATAAAGTTGATGTAATTGAATTACATATATAGTAGCTTGTAACCATGTGTATAAACACGGGGCACATATTTGAAGATATATTAGAAAACTAATTTGATTTGGTGGAACACCTATTTGAAGAGATATATTGTCACATCCCATACCATGGAACACAATACTGCTGTACTCTGTGACTAATTCACAAGACACAAGGTAATGAAGCTAAACCAATTTCAAATCCATCAAAATATCCACTTAGTCTACAACCAAAGCCAACATTTTTCCCTTCACAACCATAGTGAATATAGTCATGATATGCATTTACGAATTCAAGTCCAAGGATCGAACCTGATTACAGATATATACACAATTATTATCAAATGTTTATAAGGTCAAAGTGATAGGGGGAAACACCTCGAGAGAGTCCACCAAAGAACCCAATATGTAAATCAGGAGCCCAACTCTGACCCAAAACCTTAACTCATTAGGTTTTGGGTCCTTACTTACATATTATCAATGGTAGAGATTATGGCATAAGATGATGGCAGAAATTGTAGCAAAGATTATGGCATAAATCATGCCCAAGATTTGTTCATTAATTGTGTATATATACTTACCTAGAATAGAATATCAGTAATTAGGACATTAACTGTAATTAGCTATGTATAGATGACTACCTAAAATAGATTGTACAGAAATTCTTATTTAAGGGAAATGATCATCAAGTAAGAGGGCATTCAGCCAATTTACTCAGAAATTGTCATGGTACCAGAGCTAGTCTCTTGAATCCATAGCTGAATATTTGAATCATTTAGTTTTCTGGGTTGATTAATTTCTAATCAACATTTTGGCTTTGAGATTTTTTTTCAATCAATTTTGTGATTTCAAAATTGCATTGAATTTTTTTTCTTTCTCATTTTTTAAGAATGTCTATTGAGAATTCTTTTGGAAGCTCACCTACAGAGACTTCGGCTATCAAATTTACAGGAAAGAATTATGCGGCCTGGGAATTTCGATTCAGAATGTTTCTGAAAGGGAAGGAGCTTTGGGATCACATTGATGGGACTTCTCCTGCTCCCGAAAATGAGAAAGAACTTGGTCAATGGGAGGCAAAGGATGCTAGAATTATTTCTTGGATTTTAGCTTCCATTGAAGCTCATATGGTGAACAATTTGCGTTCATTTGGTACAGCTAGGGAGATGTGGGGTTATCGCGGCGCATATATCATCAGAATAATACTGCAAGACGATTTCAGCTTGAACACGAGATTAGTACCTTCAGTCAAGGTAATCTCTCTATTGAGCAATATTATTCTGGATTTATTAATTTATGGAGCGAATATTCTGGTCTTATCTACTCTAAGGTACCTAAGGAGGCCTTAGGCAGCCTTCAACAGGTTCATGAAGTTAGTATGCGTGATCAATTTTTGATGAAACTGAGATCAGAATTTGAGGTTACTCGGGGTGGATTGCTGAATCGAAATCCGGTTCCTTCTTTGGATGTTTGTCTTGGTGAATTATTACGGGAAGAACAGCGATTGGCTACACAATCTGTTCTAAGTGCATCTGGAGGGACATCAGAAGTGGTCAATGTTGCTTATGCTGCACAAGAGAGGAATAGAGGAAAGGGATCAATGCAGTGCTACAGCTGCAAGGAGTTTGGACATATTGCTCGCAATTGTGGTAAGAAATTTTGCAATTACTGTAAACAGAATGGACATATTATCAAGGACTGTCCTACACGACCAGAAAACAGGCGAACTCAAGCTTTTCACGCTGCAGTTCCAGATCCTACTGTTATCGATCCTCCACTTACAACCACAAGCACCAATCAGGCTGTTCTTACTCCAGAAATAGTCCAACAGATGATTCTCACAGCATTTTCTGCCCTTGGGCTTCAGGGCCAAGGTAAGACAATCTCTTCTACTTGGTTTGTTGATTCTGGAGCATCCAATCATATGACCGGCTCTACTGATTCGTTACAGAATTTGCAGCAGTATACTGGTAGATAAAATATACATATTGCTAATGGTAGTAATCTTCCAATTACAGCCATTGGTGATCTTGGACATTCTTTTTGTCATGTTTTTGTCGCTCCTAAGTTGTCTACTAGTTTAATTTCTGTTGGTCAGTTGGTGGATGATAACTGCATTGTCAACTTCTCTCATGATGGTTGTCGTGTGCAGGATCAGATGACGGGGAAGTGATCGCAAGGGGGCCTAAAGTGGGAAGATTATTTCCGTTGCAATTTGCTATTCCTACACCTTTATCTTTAGCCTCTATGATTGTTGAAAATAAGGCTGACGTTTGGCATAGGCGATTAGGTCATCCAAATAATGTGATATTATCTAATTTGATGAAGCGTGGTCTTCTTGGAAAAAAAGATCAGTGTTCTACTCTTGCATTGTCTCTTGATTGTTCTACTTGTAAGTTAGGAAAAAGCAAAACTTTACCTTTTCCTACTTATGGTAGTAGTGCTAATGCATGTTTTGAGATAATACACAGTGATGTTTGGGGCATTACTCCTGTCATTTCACATGCGCATTATAGATATTTTGTGGCGTTCATTGATGACTATAGTCGGTTCACATGGATATATTTTTTGCGCACCAAAGCTGAGGTATTTACTGTTTTTCAAACTTTTGTGGCTTATATTGAGACACAATTTTTCACAACTATTAAGATTTTCCAATCTGATAATGGTGGCGAATATGTGTCACATACCTTTCAAGCCTTCTTGCAACATAAAGACATTCTCTCTCAGCGATCATGTCCTTATACGCCCCAACAGAATGGGGTGGCTGAGCGTAAAAACCGTCACTTGTTGGATATTGTTCGAACATTACTCTTACAGTCTTCAGTGCCGTCTAAATTTTGGGTTGAAGCTTTGACAACTGCAGTGTATTTGATTAATCATCTGCCTTCTCAACAATTGGGTTTTGACTCTCCTTATTATCGCCTTTTTGGTGTCCATTCTGATTATCACATGTTACACCCATTTGGCTGTGTTTGTTTTGTTCACTTGCCACCTCATGAGCGTCACAAGCTTACAGCCCAATCAGTTCGGTGTGCTTTTGTGGGTTATAGCACCACTCAGAAAGGATTTTTATGCTATGATGCTGTTGCTAACCGTTTCCGCGTTTCTAGAAATGTAATTTTCTTTGAGCATGAGTACTATTTTCAGCAGCATGTTTTGCCTTCCAAGCGTGTCCTTCTTTCTAGCTTTGATGATATCTCGCCACCAATTGAGCGTTTTAAACCCGGCATTGTCTATCAACGACGTAGGGCCCCATCATCACAAATCCTTCCCCGACCCTGAACCAATGCTTGCTCCAGTGGTTCTTCGAAGATCTTCTCGTATCCGTCACCCTCCTGCTAGGTATGGCTTCTCTGCCACTTTAGCTAATACTGCAGTTCCTACCTCTTATTCTCAAGCAACTAAGCATGCATGTTGGGTAAAAGCTATGCAAGAAGAACTTCATGCTCTCCAGGAGAATCATACTTGGGATATTGTTCCATGTCCTAGTGGTGTTAAGCCCATTGGTTGTAAGTGGATCTATTCCATTAAGCTACGGTCTGATGGCTCACTTGATCGATATAAAGCGAGGTTGGTGGCACTTGGTAATAAACAAGAATATGGAATAAATTATGAGGAGACATTTGCACCCGTCGCAAAAATGACAACAGTGCTCCTTGTTCTAGTTATTGTTGCTTCTAAGGGCTGGTCATTGCGACAAATGGATGTTAAGAATGCCTTTTTAAATGGGGATCTTAAAGAAGAAATTTATTGACTCCACCATCAGGGTTATTTTCTACACCTTCATTTGATATTTGTAAGTTGAAACGATCACTCTATGGTTTGAAACAGGCTCCACGTGCTTGGTTTGATAAGTTTCATTCTACGCTTATTAATTTCTCATTTGTCCAAAGTCAGTATGACTCCTCTTTGTTTCTTTTCAACACACCTAAAGGAATTGTCCTGCTTCTGGTATATGTTGATGATATTGTTATTACAGGGACTGCTCCTGACTTGATTTCTAAGCTTCAAGATCATCTTCAGACTTCTTTTCATATGAAGGACTTGGGTCCTTTACAGTATTTTTTAGGTCTTGAGGTGCGTTCCACCTCAGCTGGTATCTTCTTACACCAGCATAAATACATTCAAGAGTTAATTGCTTTGGCTGGCCTTCAAGATGGTCGTTCAGTTGATACTCCCTTGGAGGTGAATGTTAAATATCGTCATGATGAGGGTGATTTTCTATCTGATCCTTCTTTATATAGACAGCTGGTAGGCAGTCTCAATTATCTGACCATTACTCGGCCTGATATTTCTTTTGTTGTTCAACAAGTCAGTCAATTTATGCAAGCCCCTCGGCACCTACATCTCGCCGCTGTTCGTCGCATTGTTCGCTATTTGAAAGGCATTTCTGCTCGAGGTCTTTTCTTTCAAGTCGACTCTCCTATTCGTCTGGTTGCATACAGTGATGCTGATTGGGCTGGTTGTTCTGATACTAGACGTTCCATTACCGGTTGGTGCATGTTTATTGGTAACTCTCTCGTTTCTTGGAAAAGCAAGAAGCAAGATCGGGTGTCTATGTCTTCTACTGAGTCTGAGTATCGGGCCATGTCCTCTGCGTGTTCTGAAATTGTTTGGCTTCGTGGATTGTTGGGTGAACTTGGGTTTCCTCAAATTGAGCCTACTCTGCTCCATGCAGATAACACTAGTGCTATTCAAATTGCTGCTAACCCAGTATTTCATGAGCGTACCAAGCACATTGAAGTAGATTGTCACTCTATTCGTGAAGCATTTGATGCTCATGTCATCTCTCTTCCGCATATCACCACTGCTCTCCAAACTGCTGATGTGTTTACTAAGGCTCTTTCCAAACCTAGACATCACTTTCTTGTTGACAAATTGATGCTAGTTGATCACCCAGCATCAATTTGAGGGGGGATATCAATGGAAGAGATTATGGCATAAGATGATGGCAGAAATTGTAGCAAAGATTATGGCATAAATCATGCCCAAGATTTGTTCATTAATTGTGTATATATACTTACCTAGAATAGAATATCAGTAATTAGGGCATTAGCTGTAATTAGCTATGTATAGATGACTACCTAAAATAGATTGTACAGAAATTCTT